GCGGAGGGGGGCAGGGGGGCTCGGGGGGGTCAGCGGCTCTAAAGGAAAGATGCCAGCATAGATCAGAACTCAAAGAAGCATTTGCAGACATCTCTGATAAAGAATAAGTTTACGGGGATGGAAATGATGTGTAGAGAGCGCGCGCTTGCCACCGCCAATTCCCTCTGAAAATACTTCTTCTCTAATAGGGAACCCTTTGTCATAAATCAACACTGTTTTCCCCCTCCTGCCGCTCCCCGTCAGGTGTACCCGCACTGGCTCTCCCTGCTCGGGCTTGTCCACACGCCTCGAGGTGCCATGGGTGCACTGGGGCGCGCAGGGGTGGGCGGTGGGATGGACTGACCCTGTCCAAAGTCGGGTCCTGTCGTCCAGATAAATAGCTAATGAGAACAAAAGGGGAAGAGGAGGCAGAGCAGAGGGGGGTGAAGTTTCTCAATGCACAAAAGCTTCCCGGTTTAGGACTTGGTGGGATGTTGATTTCGGCTGGTATTTGTGCGAACTGGAGTTGGACAAAACGGGCTTATACACAGCATCGCTGTCCTGCCCGCATTATCGGAGACGTTTCGCATGTAAGCGACACCGCCTGAGTCAACAGAGAGACACACAAAGTCCCGGCGGAGCCCAGGGCAGGACCAGGGACTTGCGGTTGCGCTGGATCCTGCAGACAGGACGCGTCTTGTGAAACACGGGCTTGGGCAGCAGCGCTCTACTCTGAATAAATGTGGCAGCAAACAATGACATTTAACCTGCTGGCATTAGCAGTGTTTCCCTGGCAAACAGAGGAGCTGGGCACAAACTAAAACAAAGGGAAATGGGAGTCACTGGTGTGCTGCACCCTGGGTGTGATGAATGAAATGCACGCTGTAAAGCAGGGCATGTACGTTATAATCTGGAAGATCTTTAAAATCTGAATAAGTTGGAAGGTGAGATGGGTAAAAAGAGTAACGTTCAAAAAAGCGCGGTTAGAGTAAGGTTCCTAAATCTGTCTTTTGTCTTCTAAACAAATCAGTTTCATTATCTGAGCAGTATGTTTTTATAGAAGCCTAAACATTGCATCTTTACTTGTGAGTCTAAAACATGCCTATTTTGTGGCGCAAAGCATAACTTCTGAAGAATTTGAATATATGTGAAAGGAAGGCAGCTCCCTCACACTTAATGTGAAAACCAAAAAAAATACTTAAAATGAGAAAATTCTGGGTCTGTTCATGCCCGTGCTATAATGCAGTAATAAATTTTTTTGAATTGTAAAAACGTGATAATTTGTAATACATTAATAAACCAAGACCTTAGCCTGGCAAAAATGTATGTATATGCTTGGCTTAAAAAACTGGGAAGGGGCAGTTGTCACCTTCAGTGGGACTACTCGTGACCTAGCTGAAAGTAGCCTTGATCTTCATACATTCGGTCTTACTAGTCACATTCTTTTTGCCTCCCACCCACTAATATTTGTTACTCAGACTTAAAAACTTACTTTAACAACAAATTCTCAGGGTATCGGAGTGCCGTCCTGGAGCTGTTGTGTGCACCGTGGTGCCAGGACAGCCCACGGGGTGGGACAGCTGGGGAGACCCTCAGCCCTACCGCACGCCATCAGAAATTATTCCCTTCATCAGCAGCTTCAGTGAGCTGCAGATTGCATTTAGGGAAGGTTGGAGGACTGTATTAATTAAAACAACCATAAATGATATCCTGAGCAATAACAGCTTTTAAAAATCAATACTGTCAAGATAGCCTGGAATTAAAATAGATTAATGTTTCTTTAAAGACCGGCGAGCAGTGCGATAGACAGCTGGGACCATCTGCATTGAGTGGTGAGTGGGAACTGAACCTCTTGACCCTGCTGGTTTTCCACTTTCTTCATTACTGGGCAGGTCATGCCTCCAGACAACAAATGCACCAGAACCACGACTCATGTGGGAGGAATGGTGGGAAGGACTTGGCCAGATGAAGACAATGAGCCACCCCGTGTGCAGCTGAATGGGAGTCCGGTCCCAGGGCATCATTGCGAGTTTAGAGATACAGTGGTTTGCATGGAGGGGTCGTGCAGGGAAGTTCTGCAAAAACGCCCTCTTTGAGGAAGCAGGCTTGCTGAGGCTGGTCAGTGCGACACATGAAAGTTAGAGGCCATTCAATTAGCAGAAGTTTAGTTTGTCTCTGTGTGAACTACTACAGCCTTTGGCTGGATTTGAGGAGGGGATTTTCTCAAAAAAGAGCGGCTGTTGGCACAGCTCCCAGTTCCCAAGGAAGGGTTATCTTCAAGTGCAACTCTATCCCCAACCAGTGTGGGATTCGAGGATTCCTGCTCTGATTTTTCTTTCTCCTGCTTTGTGCATTAAAAACATATTTAACCACTCCTGTGCTTGGTTGGGGCTGCTGGTGTGCCCGACGTTCCAGCACACTGCCTGCACGCTGCGATCACACCGCGCTTTGCCAGACACGTCAGGGATGAGTGTGGGGCCGCACGTGCTTACACCGGTCCTCACCTTCCCTCTGGGAAAGCTGTGCCAGCTCTGCCGTGGGACCCGAGGGTGAATCTGACCTGTTCCGTTCAATGAGAGCTCTCCTGTTCCAATCGCCTGTTTTCCATAGTAAGCTGATAGTTTCTGGCATGTGTGGTGTCCCTTTGATTGGAATTCATTCAGAAGCTTCCACATGCAAATGCCTCGCAGCCAGGAGAGCCTCAGCTGACACAGCCATTCATCCCTACCGGCTGCCGGATCGGGGGCAGCTCTGCAGCCGGATTGATGCCGAAGCCGGGGTCCTCGTCCCGGTGCCAGCACCAGCCTGTGGAGCCGTTTCGGACAAGCTGCGCCAGCTCTTTGCACCTCGGTCTCTGTATGTAGGAAATACAGAAGACCTTGTTCACCTCCTCTGGAAAGCCCCTGGAGATTTACGGACACAGTGTGGTTTGCGAGAATATGCAGTGCTGGTTTGTAGGTCTGGTGTTGGAAAAAGTTGTTCTTCTCCACTCCTTCTGTCATCTGTCCTTTGTATGGCAGTTGTGAAACGTGCCACAGAGCTTGTGACTATTCCATTAATGCAATTAATCCACATACTAGAAGTCTTCTTGACTTTATCAGCTGGATTTGGAGTCTGCAAACATCATTCTGAGGCACAGAAATATGATGTCTGCTTTCCGAGTTACAGAATGTTATCGCAGCTGAAAGATCAGATTTAACAAGAATTGTCTTGCTTGGGGATTAGCAGAGAGGAATTTCATTTCCGTGTCTCACGCTGCAGATGGCATTACCTCCGTACACTTTCTGACATGGGGATTGTTTGCATTTATAGATAGTAACATCAGCATACGTACCATGGGATTGGGGTTTCCAGGCTCTTCTACAGTAAGAATAAATCACTTACTATCTAGCTGGGGACTGGTGAGTTCATGGGGCAGATTTATCTTGCACTTGGGGTTTGTATGGCTGTAAGAGGCGAGGGGTCACAGTCAAGTTAGCTCCAGTTGTAACTTTGCTTTGCATGTTTTGGTCTTTCTTGAGGAATCCGGGATATTTCTGCGGGTTTTGTTGCTTTTTTTCTAGGAGGAAAAGTATTAAAGTAGGTTTTTAAAACAAACCCCACCACTCTGCCGTGAACTTTTGAGTGTTGTCCCTGCACATTTGTCATAAATGAATCAAATTATTGAGTCTGATAGAGTCCAACTTCCTTCTTACATTAATTTATGTCCTGGTAGACAGTGTTTCTTGCTATGAATATCTTGCAGGAATAGAACATTTGGTCTGAGTGAAGAATACAGCCAATTATTTTTACTCTGTCTCACACTGGGTCCTATTCTGGTAACTGTGTCATGCTCAAGAAGGAGTCTGCTGTGCGTTCATTACTGCTCCATTTGTGTCTCTGCCGACAAAGTGGTCCCTTTAAGGGTGGCTTTGCCCGTGGCTGCTGGAGGTGGCGTTAGAAACTTGGGTGGTTATCGCAGAATCTCATTCCTTGGTGTTGCCTTAAGGGAAGGTGCAAAAGAGTAACTTGACAGCGGATGTCCTGTCACATATAACCCAGGGAGAGAAAAAGCAGTCATGGGCTTTGTTCGCTTGTTCATTTCCAGAGAAGACTCCTAAAGGTGACGGTGGATTTTTTAGGGTCCCAGCTGCACGTGTTCAGGAGCGTTGAAGACCACATCCCCCAGTGGAGCAGACCACTGGGCTGAAAGTCAACACTTTTAACCATCATCTTCAATGGTCAGTCTGTACATTGAGGCTTGTGCTCTCTCTTATCCCTGGGTCATGAGTAAAAGTCTGAAGGTTGAAGTTGGTTTTGGTCCATTTATTTCCTGGTTGTAGAAAATAGCTTTTTGCCTTTAAACGTAGCAAGTGTGATTGGGAAGCACAGAAAAATATCATCGCAATGTATGGGAAGGCAATTGAGTAAGGAAGATCGTTAATTGAGTGATGTGAACCGTGTCTTTTGTGGTTAACATCTGTTTAAGATCTATTTAAACTATTGGGAAAAAAAAATCTTTGGTAAAGTTTCAGCATCCTTCCTCTCTCAGCTAAACTGTGAGCTCACAGTTAACATTCTCAGTTATGCCTAAAACACTCTGGAAAGACGAGGTAAAAAAGAGACTTGAAATTTGTCTGATGAAATGCAAGAACAAAAAGAAGATTGCAGGCCCTGGGCATCTATCGAGGGACGGAGAAGAAAGGTGCAACTTCAAGCTGGCAAGCAGCGCTCTGAGCCGTGCAGCGCTCCGGAGGGCCGTGCCCAGCCACAATTGCAGGCTTGTTGAAGATTAATCTAGTTAGTGACCCAAAGGAAAACACGGAAACAATATGATCAGCTCAGCAGTTCTAAAATAATTTTGGTCTCTGTTATGTCATCCTCTTTAAATACCAATTGTTTGTTGCTGGTCCTGTTGCCTATCAGCACTATTATTAAGAACTGCTATTTGCCATTTGTTCTTTCCTGTCCTCTTAGCAATAACTTCCTCTCTTTGCGTTTCTTCTGCCTTAGAGCTGGACATCTGTCTTCCTCCTCATTATGGCAAACACGCTCAGAGCTCCTCTTTTCAGTTCTCTGCGCTCAGCTGAAAGCCGCGGTACGTTAGCTGGGTTTTTCCTTTTCTCCCGTCAGCATCACAAAGCTGCTGCAGTGCCGGGCGGCCAGATGTGCGGATGGGCTGGGAATAGGGGCAGCTGCGGCTCCAGGGCATGGATGGGAACTGGACTCTGAGAACTCAGTGATTGGAGATGCTAATAGGAAAACAGCAGTTCCCAAAGTGGGTTTAAAAAGTTACTTATTTAGCCGTGAAGTGGGAAGTGACAAGTGAAATCTCCCTTATTTGTAATCTCGGGTATTTGGGTTAGAATTTGATGAAATGCCAGAAACTGCCAGAGGATGTTCCTTGGGGCACGTTGTCCTCCTGCCGTGTTAATCAGTGGTGGAAGATCATTGATTTATAAACTGTGTAAACCAATTGCGGTTGTAGTTCTGGGAATAAGTATTTTGAGGAAATCATTAAAAAGGCACAGCTTATGAAGCGAGTGATACGTTTGCTACTCAGAACGGTGGATCGCCAGAGTAAAAATACTCCATAGCTGAACTCTGCTACTTTTGCAAGATGTTCACTGTTTTATTTGGCGTTTTCCTCCCCTCACGTTGAATATTCCCTGACAATCATTTAAAAGTGCGTGAAAAGCTTGTGAACTTCGTCCCTCTGTTTTCAGTGTCCGGGGTGAGTGTAGTTGAAGCAAGCTTTGCTTCGGAGAAGCGTTTAGCCAGAGCTGCCCTGTCCGTGCCTTCACAGGAGGGTTGATCTGGAGGTAATACCTTACTGCTGAAGGAGAAACGTTTCTCATGGCACACTGAATCCCGGCCGCCGAGGTGGAACACGCGCGTCACAACGGCGCTCAGCCCTGTGCGTACTTGTCTTGCTATAAAAGGCATCTGTGTTGGCTTGTTCAGAATAAGACTAAAACTTTTTCCTGCCAATTTTTAGGGACTGCAGAAGTTTCAGGAATAATAATGAGATGCAATTTGAGGCATCTGATTTTTAACTTGTATAAATTTGAACATCTGCAATTTGTCATAGTTCTAATTTGGCTTTTCTTGGTGCCAAACAGCCACTTGCATTGAGGCACACAGTGTCCCAAATTAGACCCCCAGAGTCCCTTGAAATGCTGACGTATTTGTGTGCCCTGAGCAGTGCCCAGCAGGTACAGGGCGGGAGGATGCCGACGAGCGAGGTCTGTGCCCGCCCCGAAGCTGTGCAGTGAGTGCGGTTTCCCCTGCGCTCTGCAGCACGACTGAGCATGGGGCCGATTCGACAAGAGGTTTGGGATTTACAGCTCACAAACACGCACAAGACAGAGCATCTCCTGATGCCCCGTGGTTGCCGGCTTACATAATGTCACTTGCGTAACCCCAGCAATACGGTCGGGGTCTCTCTCCATGCCAAATTAAGGCTCTCTGGGGTTTTGTGTCACATTCACGCTCTGTTTGGAATTGCACTTTAGTTCATCGCAGATTCCAGTTCCTTCTCCATGCAGTGTGTGACCGCAGAGCCAGCGCGGCTACAAGGGTTGTCCTTCAGCCTCGAGTCCCCCTCACCGAGCAGTCAGAGCATCTGCTGGACTCCCAGCCCAATCTGCTGGGTTATTTGCAGAAACTTTCTTTCCTCCAGCAGCCCAGATAGTTCAGTCTTGAACCTTCGCCAGGGCAGTGGTCTCTCTTTGGGGTGAGATTGTTCCTTTTCTGGAGAGTCTCAGAGAAGCCAGTTGGAACTTGGGAGAACTGGGATCTTCTTGGCAAAGAGGAGGGTTACATACTGCCTGTTACATACTGGGGAAGAAACTTCCATGTTATTTTTTTTTTTTTTTTCTCTCCAGAGTTTTCTCTCCAGGGTGAATACTCTTAATTACCACAGGGTAATTACTAATGGATGAAATCCAAGCCCCGGAGGGCTGTTTGGTCACCAGGCAGTGACTTCATTTTGGGCTGGGTTTCACTGCCTCTTCAGTTCTGTAAAAGACTGAACAGATACCGCGAAGAGCAAAAGATAAAGCAGAGGGGTTTTTTTGCTTTGTTTTTTTAAGTTGCACAACCTAAAGTTTTAGCAGTCTTTGTCAGCAGAGTTAAAAGCCTCAGGATCTGTAAAACTCTGTTGTTGATGGTGGGATCCACGTATGCAGAGGGACACGGAGGCTCAGCCCGGAGGGCAGGATTCGTCCCACCCCAAAGCAGGTTACTGAAACCAGACAGACGAGTCACATCCCAAAAGTGCCCATCTGGAGGGGGACGGCTCAGCCCAGCCCTCGGCATCGGGGAGAAGTGTCCAAACCTCTCAGTCATTTATGGGAAAGTGTCTCCACAGATGAGAACATCTCCGCTCCTCCTCCAGTGGCTGGGGCTCCCCAGGCTGGTGCTGGCACCGGGTTTGGCAGAACCAGCTCGTTTGTTCAGAAGGAACAGTGGTGGAGCCCGAGCTCTCGGGGCTCAGGTCTTGTCTTGTCGGGGGGAGACAGGATCTGCCTGAGAAACGGCCACACTGACGATAAACGCTGCTATGAAATGTTAATGCTTAATAGAGCCTTGCTGGGTGAGGCGCGCTTTGTAACGAACCCACCCATCGTGGGGGAGTTAATTGAATCAATGAGGTGAACAGCAGAGCCCTCCAGCATATGTGGAGGGTTTGATGAGCCCAGTCGTTAGCGCAGGACCCTCGTCACTCCCCGTGCCGTGATTACAGCGCTGCGCCGGCGAGGGGATTTGGTGGGAAGTGGCCAATGAGGGGCCAGGCTGGCTCCAAATCCAGCTTGTTCAAAGCCCCAGATAAAACAGACTTCCATTAATAAGGCGAGAAAGGTTAGGAGGAGAAGCATTACAGCAAATCTGGAGAGGTAAGGTGATAGTTTTGTCTGAGGCTTGTAGAGCATATGGCCCCGGCTTTTGTACGGGTAACCCAGGAGCTCGGTCAGTCTGTAAGTGGGGCGTTATTTGCATGTCTGGTAGAGGTTTATTTGCTGATGTTAAAAAATTAGATAGCTGGAGGCACTTGATGGGGTAATCAGGGAGCTAAGGAGATTTCCTGTATCTTCATGTAGCTTGTGTGCTGGTTCTGGGTGATAAATAAGTTTCTTGGGAGCGATGCTCTGAAAAACCATTGTAACCTGCCGGCTAGGTTTAGGTTCTGGGTTTTTGAGATGGAGATTTGTTGTCAGAAACTGTCGAGGAGCTTTCCACTTCTGGAGCTAGGTTGTTACAGAGGATCCAATGTTTTAATGACTGCACTTTCTCACTGGTCAGATCCACGT